AACTGATCAAGAGAACGGTTTCAGTGTGCTCGCCGAGTTTGTCTTCTCTGATTTTGTTGTTTGTTTCGCTGAGCAGAACCATTTGCCAAGGAGAAGAATGGAAAATTTATCACAGATGGTTTGGCCAAGGAGAGCGATGCGTAACCATTCGCAAAAAGAGTTAATGGGTTATGAGGTGTCATCGGTCCGCAAACCCATGACCACTTAGTTTATCATGATGCTCTTCAGATCGCAAGTGTCATCCTTGCAACAGTTGCAACCCTTGCCTGCAGAAGATAAGTGGATCTTGTCCTAAGATTACTGGACCTTATCTGAAAAAGAGAAGTGGATCTTAAGTTTCTTAACAGGTTTATGAATTTGACAATGTGTGTTTCAGTGTTTCACCTTGAAGTTCACTTTTTTTTTTGGAGAAAGGTTTGGATAAATTTGGAGACGGAAGGTTGTCATGACATCAAGGTGAGGTGATTTGAGTTTTTGTCGAAAGGCAACTTGCCTCGTAAGCTGAGCTGTGACGTCCTGCTTATGGATGGATGCAGTTATCCGGGGGTGAAGATAGTCTTGCTGGACGCGTCAAGAGAAAGGGTAGCTATGGCGCAGAGGTAAGAGTGGTTTTGACATTGAAGTACATCATAATGATCTCCTGTTAATCATGTTGCTTGTTTGTGGCTATGACGTTCATTATCTCCTGTTAATCATTCATGTTGCTTGCTCTTGTCCTTGCCCCGGGCGCCGGGCGGAGAGGGATGCATGCCATTTCATTCTCTTTTTTTTCTGATTTCATGCCATTTCAATTTTCAAGTCTCTTTTGTTTTTCTGATTTCATCATTTCAAAATTCAAACCTTTTCACTCTCTCTTTTTCCGATCTCATGCTTCTCTCCGATATCAGCCTCTGGTAGCAATCTTGATATCGCACAGCGGCGTGACAGCGGGGAGTCCGACACTTTTCCAGTTCTCTTTTTTCTACCCTCACAAATATGTTTTTTGAACTTTTTTCTTTTTTTGTAAGTAATCTAGTAAATCTACTGTAAAAAAGAGGCACTGCCAGGAAAATGGAAAATGGTAGAATCTACAGTAACTGTTGTCTTTCCAGTTTTTTTTCGTCCACCTTTGGAAGTAATGGACGCCACAAAGGCCCACAAGTTTAAACGTTAAACTTTAAAGTATCTATTTTATGATGTTTATGACTTCCGGTGGTTGACATAGCTCCAGAGCTTTGAGAGTGATGGGCCAAAAGGGAACGGCTCCCCCCAGCATGGATAGGTCCAGATGGACGTACCGCAAATGGTGGGAGCAATGTGCGCTTTTGAAGGGCCCGCTGGACGAGAAGCAAGTGGGGTTGTTATGGCTGCTCTACCACATTGCAGTCTCTGCGGCACAGTGGTTGGCCACTAAGAGTGGGCATACAAACGTCCTGGAGCGCATTGCTCAGCCGCGGGATGCGGGCAGTGGAGAGCATTCCACAGGCTTTCGTGCATTGCCCAGCGGTACTGAGCTTATGGAAATGTTGGTCAGTGGAGATGAGGGAGCCCTCCCCGTGGACAGGTACTGAAGAGGAGGAGGATGCGGCAATCATGTTAGGAACAGTAATGACTATGAATCGGGAGGACAAAGACCGGCTCGTCGCTGCGGAGGTGGTTAGGGGGCCGGTGCTGTGGCCAGTATGGTCGCTTCGAAATGAAGGATTCGACCGGCTCCATAGCTCCAGTATGGTTACCATGCCGGTTCTGAGGAGCAGAGCGGTGGAGAATGATCTGCTAGTGGCCCTGTTGGTGGGTTTTCAGAGGTGTAGACGGAAATGGGGGGACGATGATAGCAAGTTTTGGAGGGTCTCGGGGGGGGAGGGGGCTATCCCAGCTTGGTCAAGAAGGATCCCACGACAGGCAGACTGGCTTTTGGCTTGAATTTACAAAAGTACGCACTAGATGTGGATGAGTAGGTCCCAGGTCGCTTTGTATCACAGTTAGTGCTAGACTGAATACGTAGAGATTCGAGGCCCTTGTACGATGATGCGCGTGTATATCGCACCAGGTTAATTTTCACCCTAAGCTTATGACTATCATGATCATCTTAAGTGAATCAGCCATGCTATTAAACCACCAGTACTTCCTAAAGTCGCGCCCGTTAGCGCTACGCGATTTTAGGAAACGTACGGTCCACTACAGGGGCGCCCAAATTCATCCAACTAGAAACATTTCTACGCTATTTTTTTCCGCGGCCGATAGCTGGGCCAAGTACTGGTGGTTTAAGTTTTAACTGACTTTCTATGTTGACATTGTGCAGTGTTATGCCACAGATTGAAGCAGTGGAGACAAAACTGGAGTTAAACGAGGCGCTCCCCAGAGGGCCATATGATGCAATCCTTGCCGTTTTGGCTCTCCATGTTCTTGTTGGCCATGATACAGGCACGCTCGCACAGGAAGATGTGAAATCCAGGTAAAAAACGAGGGAAAAGGGGTGCTTATGTTTCAAGTTTCAACTTTTTTTTTTTTTTTTTTTTTTTTGAAGGGAAGATTAATTTTATTCCAAAGGCAAATACGAGGCGGCCGTGGACCTCACAATCCACCCAGGGTTATCTTGGGAGCCTTACCCAGTTTACTGAGTTTAGCTCTTACGAGTTGACTTCGCGCTCGCGGCCGAACGGCCGAATCCTGTCTGCCTTGAACGTCGCCTGTATGTTCTATGATAACTTCTACCCCTACCGGTAGCCCCGGCGACTGAAGCTGCCGTTTAAAACCTACCTACCCCCCCTTCCCTGAATGCAAAAAACAGGGGTCAGGCTCCATGTCTGTGCCCTTGGTGTTGATCATCTGGGTTAGGCGTAGAGGGCACTGCACTGTTTCAACTTGATTTGGCTGAGGTATGTTTTTTCCCATAGTTGCGGTGGATCTGCGCGTCGGGCGGTGCGGTGTGGTGAGATGCGTGGGGTGCACTGCGGGCACTGCGCATATGCACAGTGCGCAGTGCGCCGCACACTTTTTTTTTTTTGAGGAGAGGGGGGTCTGTGTAGGTAGAGAAGAATTCACAGGGTGCGCTTTTTTTGTGTGAGTGCAACTTTTTTTTTGCGGGAGGTGTCTGTGTATTTGAGGGCGAGAGAGAGGTGGAGAAGAATTGGCAGGGAGCTGTGTTTCATGAGGAGCATATAGTTCTCTTGAGCACACACCCTCATCGTTTCTATGTCTAGCAAGAAATTGTCACTTTTTACGCATGCCAGGACATTTGGTAGGGGCAATTGTGGAAGCCCACGGGAAGCACAGTTGCGTAGAGGAGCACGAACCGACAACGTGACTGTATTGGGCCTGAATTGTCTCTAGTGTACGTTGGAGAGCACAACGAGTCCAAACTTTTGTTTTTCTTTTGTAAATGTCTATCTGACAGACATGCATCGCTTTCTTGGGCATCACGTCCCCTCATGATTTCAGTATCTGGCCAGAATCGTCAAAAGGATCAGGAAGGAGTCCACTATAATATAATGCCAGAAATCTAAGATCTTTTTTTCTGACAAGTTGCTTATAGAGAGTTTAGATTCTTTAGAATGAAATCTGCGCTGTGCAGATGCATAGACCCCTTCCCGATTACTGATGAGATTGTCAGTGCTTTCCTATTTCTACCCGGTAGGTCCCTTTTGGGCTAATAGGCAGGTACTATGGGTCCTCTGACTTCCAATAGGTACATCAAACAAACCAGTTGGATCTCGCCGGTATCACATATAGGTAGGCTTTAATGTTGTATATTATACATTGCTGGAGACAAGGTGTTGTTATCATGATGGTGAACTTCTGGTTATGATGAAAATAAAAAGGGGTTGCTGTCGTGTGTGTGGCCCGCTTATTCCCCTTCCCTGCAGCTTAGATTTTCTGGAGGGCAAGGGATGAATGTGCCCCCCCCCCTCCTAAAAATTTTTGTGCACCCCTATTTTCGGGGGTGCGGCGCATCATGTGCACGCATGTCTGCACTTGCGGTGGAAGCGGTGCACTGGTGGCAATGGTGATGGGCATGGAAGTGGTGGCAATGGCGATGAGCACATCTCTACTACCGTACTAACAGGTGCAGAAGCCGGGAGTGTGTGCGTGTGGGGTCATGATATTACCATAAATGATGGGATGGGTGTAGTTTCACAACCTGGTACATCTCCACATGCCATGTCACTGTTGTACATAAGCTGACTTGACTTGTCTGCAACAGTTCTACGTTCTGCGGTACACAGTGGAGACCATCTGTCCCCTGGAGCATGCAGAACGTTTATGTGTTTTCTCCCCTCTTGTAAAGATCCTGGTAGAAAACCTCTCTCTCTCTCTCTCTCTCTCTCTCTCTCTCTCTCTCTCTCTCTCTCTCTATCTCTCTCTCTCTCTCTCTCTGTGTGTGTGTGTGTTCATTCCTTGTTTCAAGAATCATGTAGTAGGTTTGGTGAATGATGTGCAATTATTGCTATTGTCTAAGTGGAGAAGTCTCTTATTGTGGTTGTTGAATGCAGATATGCACAGCTGCTTCGTTCACTGATTCGGTCACTCAATCCTGGCGGGCTCTTGATGGTTGGCGATCATTGTGGTGCCATGGGCCTGTACGAGCAGATGAAGACGATGGATTCAGTGGGATTTGTTGATATCGACTGTGCCTGGAGGGAAAATGACATGTTTGTATTTGCTGGAAGGAAGCCAACACTATCTTGAGCTACAACTGTTTAGCAAGTGACGGGTACAGATTGTCTATGGTCAATGTAGCGTATCCAATCGAAGTACCATCGAGTACCATCGGGGTTACACGAAAGGGGCACTCAAGCCCCACAGCTTCCTGTCATGAGATTTCCGTTAATGACGACACATCACGTATCAGTGGCCTGTGAAACTGCTGTATATAAGGGCACGACAACGTACTCACATTGTAACGCTGAGGGGCATGGGCTATTTGTTGTCTGGCAGGGCATGACGGTTTTGTCCCGCGTCAGACTGAGGGAATACTCGTTTGTCACAATGGGCCTGGCTCCACTACCCACCAACTGTGCAAAATGAGAACGAATTTGCAGCTAGACGGTGAAAAGATGCCCCGCCATATTTCTCGTCTTTTGTGCGTATGGCGAGTAGTGGAGCGAGGCCCAATGTCACAACAAAGGGGTGATCGTTTGCTACACAGTCACACAAATGGGTTGTTGCAGTTACAAGCACCAAGGAGGGCAACATTTCCCGTATGCTGTCACACCAAGTGAATGACAACTTGTCATGCTGTCACACCAAGTGAATGACAACTTGTCATGCTGTCACACCACGTGGGACATCAGTTTGTGAAGCCGTCACACACCAGGGGAGGGCAACATTTCCTGTATGCGGTCACACCAAGTGAATGACAACTTGTCACGCTGTCACACCACGTGGGACATCAGTTTGTGAAGCCATCACACACCAGGCAACATTTCCCGTATGCTGTCACACCAAGTGAATGACAACTTGTCACGCTGTCACACCACGTGGGACATCAATTTGTGAAGCTGTCACACACCAGGGGATAGCCATTTGCTATAATGTCATGCCAATGAGTTGGCAGACTGTGGCATCAAGATTGTCACCATTGGTACCAAAGATGGACTCATGCCACTGTTATCCACAGTTTATTCCAGCAATTCTCAGATACTGTAAGGGACGCTGGACCCCTTTTCCAGCAGCTGCAGCTGCCCACCAATAGGAAGGTGGAAACCTCGGCAAAGGGTTGGGTTGATAATCAGGTGATGCCCATATCACCCCTGATATCAGCCCCTACAACTTGGGGTTGTTTGTTTGCCCCAAAAAAACGAAAAGGAAAGGGAAAAAAAAGATTATGATCATTGCCACAGTTCCCTAGACACACAGTGTACCATTTGTCACACTTTTCTAGACAGCTGACCCTTTGTCACATAGTCACAGCAAACAGAATTCAAACACGGCGAACGTGTTTTATTCTGTTGTAGGGGAAGAGCCTGTTGTCCTGATCTGAGCCCCCGACGGGTAAACAACGCTTTTTGCTGTCTTCTTGCCCTGGTGCAGTGCTGCTTAAAAGTGACCTGGTGCATGATTTGAATAATAATATACGACGGTCTTGAAGCTGGTGTGAAACTCAAGTGTGGGTGTGATGCAGGGCGTACCTGGGTCAGAAGGCTCTTTTTTTTCGGCGGCGAAGCTGCATTCAAAACTGCATGGCACGATGATCAGGGTGTGGTGGCACAGCTGGCCTTCCATATGGATCATGTGTTTACTACGTCAACTTCATCTGTAAGCTGGAGCTGAAGTCTAGTTCTTGTTTGAGCTGGATGAGATGAGAATCAGCAAGTGAGTGTTATGGCCAGAGGAGCTCACCAACATGTTCGACTGGATCGGCTCCCTGTCGTCTACACTGAGGTCGTATATCAGCAAAAGAAGCCTACTGGTTAAAGGAACTGCATCGCTCAACAACCTGTTGGAGTGGATTGCCTACCTGTCCGTATATCACCTTGCTGCTTTCTGTGGTGAATGCTGTGGTGGTATGAAAGGTCAGTCGCGAATTTCAGACCTGTTTAAGGTGTGGACAGTGCTGGTAGTGGGTTTGACTTCCTGTCTTATGCTTGTCATGTTAGGGCCCATCCGATTGCACGTTGTGGTTCAATTTCTCTCTTTCGCTTGATGTCCGAGGTGGAGTACATCTTTGTGCAGTGGGGTGGGGGTTGTGATATATGAGTATATGGGTGGGAGATAAGTTTGCTGAATAGCTTGCCTACAACCGAGGTTGGTCTGAATTGCCGATACCATTTCTTTTCTCTTTTCTGAGTAGATTGCTCCAATCTATGTACCTGGGGAGAAACATGTGCTACTATGAACCGGGCCCAACATCCCTATGAAGTACGTACCAAACAACTTGAAGTACTGGGGCTATTACCTGGCTTCAGCTGAAGCGGCAGGAGCAGCTGCTTCACATTTGAGAATGAATCTGCATCGGATAAGGGAGATGGGTGAGGGCCTAGACAAAGACCTCTTCAGCCTATTGGCTGTCATCTGTGATCCGTCACCTTTAACCTTTACACATGGCCTATAGGTAACTTGTCGCATGACTTGACATGAAGTTCAACCAAATAGAATGAAATAATTATTAAGTTTGAAATTTTATTATTTTATCGATGGACCAACCAACCAACCAACCATGTAGCCAGTTCAATCGACTGGCGATCCAGGCAAGATAACTTGTCAGATGGGACAAAATTCGACCCACCTAAAGTTTAACCCATCTATTAAACCCTAGGCAAAGTTTAATCCATCTAAAGACCAACCATCTATTGAACCCTAGACGAAGTTTAACCCATCTATTAGATGGGTGATTAAACTGTGTGCGATCTGACGAGTTGCCCCATATCGCCAGTTGGTTGAACTTCAACCGGCAGTTCTAACCCATCTATTAGATGGGTGATTAAACTGTGTGCGATCTGACGAGTTGCCCCATATCGCCAGTTGGTTGAACTTCAACCGGCAGTACTTAGCGCCAGCCTTGCGTTAAAAAAACTTGCCGCCGGGTCCAAAACGTTCAGGTCTGGCACATATGTGTAATAATCATTAAAATAATGTATATATATATCCTCTAACAAAACTGCGCGGGTACACCGTTGGCAGAGAGGGAGGAAAGGGCAACAAAGGAGGGGCAGGGACAAACTGTTTTGTCGGAATTTCACCGACTTACTCATCAGGAGGCTGAACCCTCAACAGTCTGCAGAATCCCCTGACCGATTACACTGATAGTCCACCAGAGGGAGAAGAGGACAACAAACGAGGGGCTGGGACATACTGATTTGTCGGTTTTTCACCGACGCATTGAAGTACCTGTCCCGAATATCAAGGCACCAATCACTAGCCTCAAGGTACCTGTCCCCTCACCCACACCAGATGGAAAACTCTACAGACCGCCGGTTCACACCCCATCACAAGCCAGCAAAACACCCCGAAACGAAGGAACGTCTATGACAGCTAAGAAATATATATATCACCAAACGGAACTGCCCCTTAAACTGCAGGCAGAGAGGGAGAAGAGAGACAAACTGTTTTGCCGCATTTTCACCGACGCATCAGGAGGCTGAACCCTAAATGTATATACTATATACAACGCTGACAAATGCCCCGAGTCCCCTGACAAATGCCCTGCATCACGATTCGGACCTCTGAAACTCGCATTGCGTGGTCCGTGGCCTTAAACGGCACGGCAAAACTTCATGCCATGCGGTTGAAATTGAGGGCTTCGAACAATTTAACCCTAGGCTCCACGTACAACCGTCACTGAACTCTGGCCAGATGGTTGGTCAAATGGTCTCCTGTATGACACCTTGCCCCGCGGCTATTCAACTTCATATGGCCAAATACCACGGCCTTCATCTGGGTAAAATGCCCCATCAAAAAGTTTTCTCAGATATAGCTATGATAACCAGGGGCATTATTTGGGAGTAGATCGAAGGTTCTTATTTCATCATCTACTGCAAGTATAATGCCAGATTATCAGGCACGGAAGGAAGAAAAATACATTATACGAGGATAAAAACGGGGGGGGGGGGGGGGGGGGGGGGGGGGGGTGGAAAGTGGCAACACAGCTGATAAAATTCGTAATCATGCTACGTCTGCACCTGGTCTTTACAGCCGTCTCTAGACTGACAGACATAAAACATTCAAAATGTCCACGCGTCCTCTATTCGGCAGACAATGGTTATCAAAAGCCAACAGAAAGAGTGTGATTCACAAAAGCCAACAGAAAGAGTGTGATTCACAAAAGCCAACAGAAAAGAGTGTCTACCTTTCCCAGCCTTCAGCCCTCCATCAAATGGGAAAACTGTTTATCTGATCAATATCTGCTCCATAATTGCCACGAAAAGGAAAAGAGCGGAATACAACTCCACTATTGTGAAGCACCGTTTCCTGAAAACATAGAATGCACAACACACACACAGCTCCATGAACTTCTCCTCCTTTTGGTTCATATCTTGTAATCTGCGTTTTTCAGCTCTTTCTAACTCTGTTACCTATGGCCGGTGGGCACTACTACTGAATTTTATTCCCCTATCTGTACGCACAGCTACTGGATTGTGTTCCCCTACCTGTACACACTACTACTGGATCATGTTCCCGTCTATCTATCTCCTGACTGAACGCATGCAATGCACACAGATACTGACTGGTGTCGGCAAATGCCAGGAAAACACCGTAAGGTTTTGAAAACCGTAAGTTTTTTTAAGGAAGGAAGTATCTGTCAAATTTTGCACGAACACATCCCTCTCTTCAAGTGTTAGACAAACTTTGAACTTTTTTTTAAACCACCAGTACTTGGCCCATACATCGCCCGCGGGCCGTTGCCGTTAACGCTATGCAAAGTTCGGGCTAAGGGGTACCGGACCTCAATGGCTGGAAACGCCCGCCCAAAAAAAATTGAAACGGTACACCCTGGCGCTGCGGCAAAAATTGGCACGCAGGGGGATTCCAGGATCGGCAACGATAGCTGGGCCAAGTACTGGTGGTTTAAAGTTTTAAGATATACCAGAGCCCGGAAGTAACTGTCAAAAGCAACCACAGTTGGGTTCCGGCCCAACTTCCGGGCATTCGCAAGAGCATCTCCCTTCGCCGTAGAACCTTGTCAACGAGCGGAGGCCACGAGGGTGCTATACGCTCGGGCAAGCTTCTTGGTGCTGGTGGCTCTCTCATGTGCTTTTTACCCGGTGTCCCTCCAACCAGGCAGAAGGGCCTTTTCTTTGGGAGGGGGGGGGGGGGCAGCAGGGCATTCTTGGACATTGAGCAGAGGAATCTTCGCCTTGCCAAGCTGCGTCAGCGTCCTCTGCTACTTTGCAAACAATTACCATTAGTGTAGATTAATGCCAGCTAATATCATCGCGTTGACCTGCACAGTAAATTGTGGTGGCCAGTAAATGGAAGTTGTACACGGACACACACACACCACTACAACAACCCCCCCCACGCCAAACACCCCCCCCCACGTCAAACACCCCACCATTGCACTGACCTGCACAATTAAGTCGTGGGCTCAAGAAATCAAAGTTGTACATGTGCACACACACACACACCTGCCCACCCCCACCCCCACCATATACACACGTGCATCACCCATCGCAATGTAACTTGAAATGCACAAACATGCACACACCTTCCCCCCCACAACCCCACCCCCACCACGTTGTACATACCACATAGCACTTGCGTCACCCATCGCAATGTAACTTGAAACAGACACACAAATCCCATCTGCACATCTAGATGTGTATAAGAGACAGACATACCACATAGCACTTGCGTCACCCATCGCAATGTAACTTGAAACAGACACACAAATCCCATCTGGTACGATGATCCCTGGCATAAGCTGCAGCTGCAGACACCCTCCCATAAATGCGAAGGTAGAGAAAAGCTTCTTCCCAATGGGGCCATTCTTCTGCACACTGTGATTGCATTACATGTTTCGTACAGATCCTGACTACTGGTTGTACGGATTCAGACTCCGTGAAAACACAATGGCCAATGGGCACTCATTGTTAGCAGGAAAAGCACAATACGCGCACACAGAGAGAGAGAGAGAGAGAGAGAGAGAGAGAGAGAGAGAGATGATCTCTCCATTAGCTGCCCTGATATCAAGGAAAAGCCCTCCCCCCAACATTTTTTTTGACATGCATGTAGATTGTGCGCTCTTATTGCACACTACTTCAAATAAACTTTCACACCGACAACCTGACCACGATTTGCAAGTGGAATCATCTTCTCAAAGAGAGACACCTCCACTCCCCATAAGGGCTGCCGACTACCAACTGGTCACCAGATTAAGCTTCCCCACATGATGGTCAAAATCCCTTGATGATGCTGTCCTCCTTGTACGTGTGAGCAGGTCTACAGCTGTTAAACCAAGAAGACCATACACGTGACCACGTCTACAGCTGCTAAACGAAGATTACCATGACATATGATGAGTGGCTCATATGGGTGAGCTGTTCTACACCTGTTAAGCCATCTGACCGGGAACATAACCCCTCCCCTTGTCCTACCTCTCGTCACTTTCACTGTGCGCTGTCCCAAAGCCACTTCCAAACCCCCGCATGGATGACGTGGAATTGCCGGCCGATCCTGCCAATCACCCGAGTTACATCTAGTTGGAGATGGAACATACCACATCCCCAACTCCTCCCCCTCTGCTCATCCTCCCTTTCTTTACTGTCTCCTGTCCATGGGCTATGGACACGCCCCCATGGATTTAACCAAAACTTCAACCATGGGTTTAACCGTTTAACCATGGGATTCCCAGATGACATGAAGTCGCTGGCCGATCCTGCAGATCACCTCAGTGGCATCCACTTTGAAAGGAAATACAGCCCCCCCTCGTCGTCCTACCTCTTCACCGTGAGCTGTCGCCTTTGTGACCATCTCCATTTCCCTATTGAGCATTTCAGCTGCAGAGGTCAGTTCCTTCATCGCATCGCCAAGAAGCCATGCGACAGAAATATGAGGCCGAGGATCCTGCAAACGTCACAAAATGTGGCGGTACTAATTCTAGTTAACAACAGTGGAAGGGCAGGCAGACGTGTCATAACATCATCATCAGATGCTCAACAGGGCAGCCAAACATGTGCATACCATCATCATCAAATGCTTAAACCACCAGTTTGTTTCCCTGCTAACTCGTTCTGACTGACGTGCACATTCCCACTGCACCAAACAGGCAAGACCACAGCCGTGACGGTTCTGGTTTTGCCCGGTCGGGCAGCACATGCCATCGGCAAAGAGAGGCTCGCATGGACTGGTGGTTCACAATGGAGTAGCAGCAGTGCAGACGGATCAAACACAACGCGTTACGCTTCAGCAACCTGACGAATACAGGAACCAGCCTTCATGAATAAGAGATTTTGAAACATAATTTTATTAATATATAGATAAGAGTAGGAGGAAAAAAACAAAAAAAAAAAGATTCATACGAGTACATACCAGTGTGTGATGCGAGGAACATTCCTGTTACCTGACAGGTACACACCATCCTGGCAACCGCATGGGCTGCACGGTCGTGCAGTATACCCCGCTGTTCGGTGCACAGCACCTGCCCGTACAGCCTACCAGCAAAATATTTTTCTCTTCTTCATGTTTTGCTGTTTTCGTGGACACAAGACTGTCCAAGCTAAGGAATACATCCTGTTCAAGAACAGTCATACGAAGTTTGCTTTTTGTACCATAGCCTCCACTCATCCAGGCATGGGACCGCTTTTTTTCCTCGGTGCCTATTGCCCCGGTGCGCCGCACGGAGCCAGTGTGCTCTTGTGCCGTATGTGCGCAATTGACTGTTCAACAGGCACTTGCAAGTATAGTAGTCAACACTGCTCCACAGTACGTAAAATGTTTTACACACCTGCAATTACAGTTCGCCTCGACTGCAACATAGCTAACTAGAGACACGTGCATGTGGACGGACAGGAGGGAAGCAGGGAAGAGAGGGAGAGAAGGAGGGTGTGCACAGAGAGAGAGAGAGAGAGAGAGAGCATGGAGGGCACACCACACCTGGTAAAATGTTGGCAGGCTATGGAGCTTCATCATATGGTCAACGAGTCGAATCTGCTGGCAGATCTGCATTTAGGTGAAAGGCATACGAGTCCCACGCAACATCAACCAACACCAATCACGAAAGCGCCACTTATAAATAAAAAGAATGGTGGCAGCCTTGAGACATCATCATTGAACGGATTGCTCCCAGGTAATTCAGAGTTGTTGTATTGTGTTCATCGGATTGAAGTGGATTCGAACTTGGGTCTGCAATTCAACCATTCATGGGTCTAGCAACTCAGCTAAATCCACCAGTCCCTGAGCCTTTTTTAACAACGCACGTTCCAAACACAAGCAGTTTTGACTTTTGGGATGTCATGCATGGTCAGGACATTCTTCCCGCGCCTCGCCTCCCTCACTCGCCCTTTTCCAATAGGAAACTGTTTTGCCAAACAAAAAACAAGGACAATCCACAACAAGCTAATGTGTCTCGCTCTCTTGTCAATGCTCAAACCATTTTGACAAACGTAAGAGAAGATGCCCAGAAGAAGCCCAATAAGTTTGCGGACCGCCTCCGGCATCAAGCGAGACCTGTACTATCCTGCATTATCTTATCTTTTCTTTTTTTTTCTTTTTTTTTTAATCCTTGCACTAATCATCTTTCTCCGTATCGTTCCAATTTTAACGGAAGTCCCGAAGGACTTCTTTCTTCCTTTTTTTACTTCTTTAAAAACACAAGAACAGTCCACAAGAAGCTAATGTGTCCCGCTCTCTTGTCAAGAATCGAACCATTTTGACAGACATAAGAGAAGAAGCCCCATACGTTTGGGGACCACCACCGCCGGCCATCCTCAATCATCACACCAACGAGCAAGACCTGTGCTGTACTGCATTTTCATTCAAATATGGTCACAGCCTCATACCACATTTGCAACAAACACACCACAGAGCCCGCATAGCCACAACAGTTTGGCCATGACAGCTCGCACACAAACGCACACAACCAGTGCGAGAGCTAACTGCAGCTTTAACATGACCAAAACCTTGCCAGACGATCACCCCACCGCACGCCCCTCAGCCTCAGCTGCCTGTAGCCCCCGAATTTGACTCAGCACTTGCCAGACCACCCACTCGCGGGTGATAAAAAACAATGTATGGCATTGTATGCAGAGACAGTAGAGTGTTGGCTGATTTAAAAAAAAAAAAACCTATGTATGTGGTTGGCTGATTAAAAATAAAAAAAAACTATTATATGTGGGGACAACAAAGAGTTGCGAAAACCCCAGGGAGCCCCCTGATTGGCCAAAATGACCCAGCAAGCCCCCGGTTGGGAAAACCGACTCAGAGGACCCCCCTGATTGACAAAGGGTACGACACTTTTGATGTGTCGTGGTGACCACCATCATCCCCTGAAACAATGCACCCTCATTGTGACCGTATCTGACCGGAAAGGTAGCTTGTATACATTCATTATCACATTATATACATTCATTATCACCATGCATTGCGTTCTGGGGAAAATGACAGTTGCCTGCTGCGAGTCGGAGCCATAGCTGGTCCGTATGGTCTTCTCTGGTTGACACGTGGCCTGCTTGGATTCTTTCTCGGGTAACAAGTGACAGGTCTTAATGGCTCTAATGAGTCTAATCCAATCTCCTGCTACTAAACGGCGCTGTTCTCATGGTTGTTGGGGAGAGAGAGAGAGAGAGAGAGAGAGGGGGGGGGGGGGGGGGGGGGGGGGGGGGGGGGGGGGGGGTTGACGGGTAAAGGCCAACAGATGAGCAAAAACAGGGAAAGGGCTAAGGGTAAGTATTAATTACCGTAGAAGCACCACCAGCAATCTGCAGTGCAAGGAATGATCTTGTCCGCTCGTCATTATGGAATGCTTCCCACCAACCTGTTTCCATCACAAACCTGAATACTACATTAGAAAACAACAGAGGAGAGAAGAGTGGCCAGAAGTTGGAAAAAAAGCCACAATCAAACTTGAAGAAAGCATTAAGAAAAATTGACTTATAAGAAAAGTGGCAACATGAAGTGCAATGACGTAGAGAGAGAGAGAAAAGGTGAGAACGGGGGGGGGAGGGGAGGGGAAGGGGGGAAGGGGGGAAGGGGGGGATGAGGGGAGGGAAAGACAGGGAGCGAAAGAGAATGCCAACGACACGAGAGCAACCACTCTGTGCCAAACTTCAAGGCCACCAACAAAATACGTTGCCTCAAACTTCACATTATTAATTTATTACAGTCTCTGCTACCGGTGTGGATGTCTGGGACACTTCTAGTTGTCCGGGATGGCCTTGCGGACGTGAGACAAGACAGCAAAAGTGCGCGTCGGCCACTGCCCGAGCGAGTGAAGTGCACACATGAGAGAGAAAGAGACCGAGCTAAAACCGCATCATTGTATGTGGGACATGCATGCACGCACGCACGCACATGGGTCACATCAATCCTCTATTCCCTCTGACACACTCACAAGAACAAACTGGTGCTAACACGTACTCTACTCTCTTCGCCAATCGTGCCGCCAACCACAGAATCATGAATGACTTCAGAATAAGAGAATTTCCTAGATGTTCAAGAGCACAGAATGTGAATGTGCTATGAAAAAAACTTTAAAAAGCCTCAAACTTGCATAGCCCTTCAGATCGAATGCACGCCAAGATTAGCATATAGCTGCTTGATTGGTCGGTTGGAGGTAGGGGGGGACTACCTCGACTGATGGACTGATTGATTCGTGTACAGTGTAAATGTGAAAATTAGCATAGCTGATTGTTTGATTGGCTGTGTCTGAAGCAAGTTCCTGCGCTTATAGTTTAATTGGCAGGACCACGTCGACTGATCGATTGGTGTGTGTAGTGTAGATGTGACCTGCTATGTCCGGCGCACACAGATATCCTGGCTTCTCTCAGCCGATTCCCACACGTGGGGCGGCTGGTGTTGCAGATAAGACAAAGCTAACTCTTAGTGTGTCTGAGTTAAATGTGCACTACTTTGTTCTCCGGTGGATAATTGCAGTCTGACTCAGGATCATTCTCAAAGGCTAAGTGAAAACAGCCGCAAAAGTGTCAAAACAACACAAGCAACCCTGTGTCCTCACTAACTCTTAGTGTGTCTGATAATTGCAGTCTGACTCAGGATCATACTCAAAGGCTAAGTGAAAACAGCCGCAAAAGTGTCAAAACAACACAAGCAACCCTGTGTCCTCACTAACTCTTAGTGTGTCTGAGTTACATGAGCACTACTTCATTCCCCAGTGGATAATTGCAGTCCGACTCAGGTTCATACTCATCAGGCAAGTGAAAACAGCCACAGAAGTGTGAAAACAACACAAGCAACCCTGTATCCTGAGCACTACTTCATTCCCCAGTGGATAATTGCAGCGCGACTCAGGTTCATACTCATCAGGTAAGTGAAAATAGCCACAAAAGTGTGAAAACAACACAAGCAACCCTGTGTCCTCGCAAACTTTTAGTGTGTCTGAGTTACATGAGCACTACTTCCGGCAATAATGAACAAAATGATAACCAAACTCGACAGCTGGTCTAAGGTACACACCTCCTTAATCGGCAGAGCTCTAATCCTTACTTAACGCATCGATCTTTCAATGCTATGGTACGCAACAACAGTATGGAGCCCACCGAAACGGATGAGATTCCAGCTCAGAAGGAGAGCAGCAGCCTATCTCTGGTCTGGGGATCTCTCAAACGTCAATTTCATGTCAAAGGTTGCATGGAGATATGTCACACTCAAGAAGACACGAGGCGGCCTAGGAATCCTAGACCCAGAAACACAAATCAAGGCACTGCAAACCAAATGGGTCCTTAAGATAACAACTAACCATAATCTGCCGTGGGCCAAGTTAGGATCGTACAGGATACAACAGCTAGCCAAATACAAAAGACCCGATAACATGAGGGGTGAGTTCTGGATCATGGAACAGCGCCAGCACCTGGAACAGAGGAAGGGAAGGGTCAACATAACGAGGATTTTCGGAGGCATCTGATGAGAACATGGAGGGAAATTCTGCCATCCAAAGTGAGAGACCCCACAGTCAAAGAAGAGGTCCTTCGACAACCGCTCTTCTGCAACCAATGGATCCTCGACACACAAGGCAAACCCTGGACGTTGACTGGAAGGGATACAAAATGGGGAACATGGGTAGAAAAGAGAGTGCGGCAAGTCAAACACCTATGGCACAACGCAGAGAAGAGATCGAAAAAGGTAGGACAACTAAGGGAGATCCTGAAAGGATGTCACAACTTACAAGATAACCTGAACAACATCCTAATCTCTATACCAGAAAACTGGCAACGGCTTCTCAAACTCCCACGCTCATGGACAGCAGGGGACTGGGCGACAAAAACGGCAGACAATAAATACTCCGGCCTCGGCCTATCGGTTTCGCTCAAGAGAAGGACAGAGGGGGGATTGGATGATCTGTCACATTTACTCGATTAAAAACCCGGGATCAACTACAAGCCTCCTTAGCAACAATCAATCCGGGGAAATTGCCATACCTGAACGGTCAGTGAGGAAAGTAAGGGTGGTGGAAACGCGAGAGTACCGCATCTACAACCCACTCAACAACAAAGCAGACCTAGAGATAGAGACCTACCCGAGTGGGCATGGAAAAGCAAATCAGGCAGACTCGGAATTGAGAAATGCACCAACATATTGGAATATACCACCCTACACACTACGAAGGCGTTCGTACCTTCTAACTCAGATCACTAGCCAATGATGGGAAGAAAAACTCAACCTACCCCCTAACCAGACTTTGCTCACGTCGTGGAGCGGAGTTTACGCCATCACTTCAGCAAAGGTAAGGAGTTTTCAATGGCTATTGGTGCACAGAGCCCTCCCAGTCAACCAATGGCTGAACAAGAGAAAAAGGCCTTCTGTCAAGATCCCCCCTACAAGAATGCTGCGCAATTTGCTCGGAAGGCACAGCCGGGGACATAGAGCACTGCCTACTTCATTGCCAAAAGGCAAAACAACTGTGGGCAAAAGCGACCGAACTATGGCACTCTATCACAGGCAAAACCCTTCCAACAGACCAGATCCCACTCTTAGTAGGTCTTCACACACAACAAACATGGCAAAGGTTCGAGACCTCCTTTTCCCACATATTAAGAGTAGCAACATTATGGATGGATGACATGGAAGCGTAGATGCCAAGAGACAATCGACCACTCTGCTCTAGCGGCCCAGGAGTCATGGGAAGGAAGTCTTAACCTTCATAGAGATTGAGTACAGAGGGCGATGGAAGAGGACGTGCAGGAAAACAGATAATAAGTTAATAACCCAGTAGATTAGGATAAAATAATTGAAACATTCAAGAAACAATTCCTAGAAGAAGGGAAAATAGCAGTAATAAATCAGAGCAAATTTCAATTTGGACAATGGCGACACACACACCTAACCCACTCACAGCCAATAGAAACACCAAGAAGCAGAACCCACCTGACAGGCATGACGTTCGGCCTGAATAAAACCATAATATCCGCACATAGAACTCGAAGGCGGGAACCACCCCCACTAACCAACAGAACCACAGGGACGTTTAAGTTTTTGGTGAACTAGTTACTTAAAAAAGGGGCTAAAACAGTGGAGGACTAGGGAATCGCTCCCCCAAGGAAAAGACAAAACTACAAACCGCATACAACAGACGACCCGAGAAGCCTAGGGTTTAGGGTTTAAGAGAAGGCAAAAGGCAGAAAAAGCAGTGCAGACAGGATTTAGAGTTACTTGCAGCCTAAAAGCTGACAGAGAGGGAGGTTAGAAGATAAGACCCCACAGAGCTCAAGAAGCAGGAAGAAGTTCATAGGGGTCTTGTTATGATCGGGTAGAGCTGTGTAGAAACAAACTTTAAGCAAACCCTTAGATGCCAGATCCAGACATCAGCTCTAGCATTCAGGTCTATCCGACAGCACTCAGCTGTGAGGAGCTAGGCGCTAGACGACTCGTAGGATCAGGAGGTAGTGGATACAGGCTAACTTAGGCAGGGGGTGAGGGGTGGTACATCCTTCCCTAGGGAAGTAATCAATGTCGTCCACTGGGAAGTCTCAGCCATAATGAGGAGGAACATGCGCGTGTTTTCATTGTATTCATAATTGACTTGCCGGGGGAATAGGAACCGGACTGCTGCTCCCCAGAATGGCAGGAGCCAGAACCAAGAGGTTCTGTTCATTATTTTAAAAAATAAAAATAATAAGAATAAGAATAAGAATAAGAATAAGAATAAGAATAATAAAAATTAAAAAAAATGAGCACTACTTCATTCCCCAGTGGATAATTGCAGTCCGACTCAGGTTCATACTCATCGGGTAAGTGAAAACAGCCACAAAAGTGTGAAAACAACACAAGCAACCCTGTGTCCTCCGACATCAACCACCTTGTCAGCAGGACATTGATTGCTCGCCAATGACACCAGCAGACACAAAACTTTGGCCCTCACTCCAAACTGCACAATATTTTACATGCATTTGACCATATTTTGAGCCAGAAGCGTTCAGATTGACCCAACATTACCAATGTATCTGGACCTTTTCAGCTCTAGATACATTTTAAACGTTGTGTAGTGTACTGGAGCTAGGCTCTTTCACACCAAGGACCGTGCGCACAATTGCAATCCAATATCCAAACTGAATGCAAAAGCTGTTGCTTTTATTCCTTCCTTTTTTTTTTCCAAAGGATTTTGGCAGCACGATAAGCGAAAGGAGAAGGGGGAAAGCATAGTAGCATAGACACAGATAAAGGCATTTTCCAGTGCAACTCATCATCATCATCATCATAATCATCATCGTCTTTTTTTCTTTTCTTTTCCATCATCGTCGTCATCGTTATTGACTTGTTACCTTCTCTGGTTGCGGAAACTTTTCTTCAGCATCGCGACAACCGAGTCGATCTGTGCGAATCGAATGGCGACCGTCCTTGACAAGCTGACATGGTACTCATCTGCCGCCTTAACGCCAACACCCAGTGCCGACGACGCAGCAGTAGCAGCAGCAGTAGCAGCAGCAGTGGCAGCTGAGCTGGAGTTGCCCCTCGTTCCTAGCATAGTAGTACGCAATCCAGCAGATGGCGATTTCGTAGACACGTGGCCTCCCCCAAACTGCCCTCCATCTGTGGGAAGAGGAAGGGGGGAGGAGGTGGCCTCTTCGATGGACTTCAGCCCGGGAACAAGGTGCGCTGCTCGCCGCAACGACGATTCCAACCCTCCTCGCCAACGGGTAGAAATTGGAACTGCCGCCAACCGCAGAAACCAACCGAAGAAAAGTATGGTATCAGACAATGGCATCAACAGAGTATTGGTAAGAGGAAACACCAATCAGCACCACAATGCAGAGCGCAGACATCAATCAGCACCACAATGCAGAGCGCAGACATTTCGCATCGAAGTCAAGAGTGTTCTTTTTTCTTTCTGTCAGCCCCTTTTCCGTCAACTGAAATATCCATTGTCTAACCCTTATGACGGGACTACTATGGACCGAGTCTCTGAGATGAATATTGCTCCTCTCAGCGTTAAGTGTGATGGGGATGCAGCGGGGGGCGGGGGGCGGGGGAGCTGGGGAAGTAGAGACATCCACAGGCAATTGAGAGGGTCAGAAGAAGAAGAAGAAGAAGAAGAAAAAGAAGAAGGAAGGAGAAGAAGAAGGAGAAGAAGAAGGAGAAGAAGGAGAAGGAGGAGGAGTGGATCAAAGAAGAGTGACAAATACTGTATCTATGGGTTCTATAAATAGGCTAAAGGCTTTTTCCCTCTTTTGTTCTCGTCTTCAGAAGAAGGAAAACATAGGGATAAAACCATATAACCTGTTAGAGTCCGCAAAAAAAGTTTAAGTCCCAGGTAGGCCTCCACTGTCAGGAAGGCATCTGGACATACTGAGGGAACAAGGTGCATTATCTGTATACAACCTAATAGACATCTAGGTACATTTCTGAGAGATGGCAAGCAGTAGCTGTAGTTGTGATGGTAGTAGTAGTAGCAGTAGCAGGCTACTAGCAGCAGCATAAATTTCTAGAACCTCGGACAGGTTCGTTCAGATCTTGACCCGACACGATTGGTCCCGTCCTCTCTTTGTATTTCTTTCTTCTTTTTCTCTTTTTTTTCCTTTTTTTTTTCTTTTTTCTTTTTTAAAGGTTGACGACCTTCAAGTGTCAGTATCAAGCTGACCGGCCCCAGGTAATTCAGAGAGTTGTTCCGTTCGTCTGACTCCATTCAGGATTCGAACTCAGGTCTGTTTATCAACAGTTCACGGGTGTATCATTCCATCAAATGGGTTTTCTAACTTTTCTTTTCTTTCAAAAAAAAAAAGAAAAAAAGAAAGGGCGACGACCTTGAGATATCATCATCGAGTTGACCAGTCCCGGGTAATTCAGAATTTTATTTCATTGCAGACATCTATCTAGGTCCGTTATCTGGATTCGAACTTGGATCTGTGTATTTCAACAGCAGTGCATGGGTGTAGCTACCAACTGCGCTAGGCTCATTGGTGTGGGGGCTGGGTTTTCTAAGTTTTTCTCACAGTGCTTGTTTGGTTTGTTTTTTGTTCTCGCTGTATTTCAACTGCACTGCAATGCAAAATTTTCACACCGTTCCCTAATCCTTCCTTTGTATTTCAAATGCACTGCGACTTTCAATTTTGAGATTCTCTAACTTAAAAAATTCGCCTCTTGCATCTGAACTCTGGCGAGCCTAAATCCAGCCAAAGCTGGCGTCAAGACAGTTATTCATTGACTGAAGTCAATGAATCTAAGTTAATTGATTCAAACAACCACATAAAGCGCCAGTTCGGTACAACATATAAACAAAAAATTGCTGAGATATAGAGACTTTTTCTAAAGTAGTACTTTTTTTTCTATCCATGGGGTGAGGAAAAAAGAAGGGGGGGGTGGGGAAGGAGGGAAGGGCGGAAAAATTCGGGAAAAGGAGGGTAAGAGGGGGAAGGGTGTGAAGGGGGGATGCACTATACATCCACCCATGGTATGCAAACACGACAAGAGTGGGCAATGAAACTCACAGCGAATGTATACATGACAAGCAAAATTTCCTTCAACGTGAGGAAAGCTCCTTATCCTTCCCTGATGCCTTGCACTCTCCTCATCCAACCCTGTTCCTGTAGCAACCCCCCCCCCCCAGCATACACATAGCAATCACAGTGAGAGAGAGCGTGAGCGTGTGTGTATGATAGAGAGAGAGAGAGAGAGACTTAACTGTTTCACATGGAGTGCACAGCTTGGCATCTGTTAATGTCCAATAACAATAAAAAATACTTTCTTTTTTTTTTTTGTAACTCGCCTCCAAAATTAAAAAAAATTGTAATTCGCCTCAAAGCGAAAGAGAGAGAACCCTACTCTCCTACAGAGTCCAAATGCTCCTGTCACAGCGATATTTATCGGCGGGCTGTAAATAGCAACAAGACAAAAATATACAAATCCATACCGAATTAGCAATACAAGCTTCGCGTCTGAATCCTACGCATAGGAACGGCCACGGACGGAATCTTTTTTTTTTTCTGGTTATTTACTTGCCGAGTAAGCAGGCTAAGGACGGATTCGAACCATCATTGGTGGATTTCCAGTCCAATACATTACCTTAACGACTAGACTAGACAGCTCTACTGACCTGCACTCTTTCACAGACCAGTTAGTTGCTGGGCCACACCACCACCACGTCGTTTCATCGACTCTAGATCTGTGAAGTCCATACTCCATTCAAATTTCAAACCAACAAAAAAAAAACATTCCTGAAAAATTGTGAATTTCCTAATAACAATAATGGCAATAATAATAAGCACATAACATAATAATCATAATAATCATAATAGTCGTTACTTAATCATCACCATCGTCATCGTCATAAAGTGATAAAATATTATAAAATATTTTACTCAACTTAGTAAAATAACAAATTTCATGGTAACGGCGGATGCAGATCCGGACTCGCCCGTGCGTCCGGCCGTACTGGCGTCCGAACATCCACGCACGGCCGGACAGAGACCGTCTGGACAGGGTCCGCTGACGTACGGAAGTGTCTGAAAACCGCGAAGAAAAAGGCTCTCGAGCAGAGGGGTGCGTGCTGTCTTGGGAGGAGGCTGGGGTACAGGGAGGTGGGTAGCGGGACGCCATAGAGGCTCAGGGGTACTGGTGATGGCAGAAGCCCGCGAGAGGTGGGGACAGGGGGTGGGCAGCGGGAGGCTAAGGAAGCGAGGAAGCTGGCAGCTGACATCTCTCTCTCTCTCTCTCTCTCTCTCTCTCTCTCTCTCTCTCTCTCTCTCTCTCTCTCTCTCTCTCTCTCTCTCTCTCTCTCGCTCTCGCTCGCTCGCTCGCGCGCAGGCAGTATTGGGGGCAAGGGCAGTGGATGGCAGAGGGTGACGGAAGGCTTGCTGAAGGGGGTTGAGACGACGAAAAGCAAGATGGGGGGCTGAGCACTCTCTCTCGCGCGCCGGAGCTGCGGTTGCAGCAGAAGGCAGGGGAGGTGGCAGGATGCTGGGGAGGTGAGGAACCTGGTGGATGAGACACAGAGAGAGAGAGAGAGAGTAGATTATGGCCAACGATCATCATCATCGTAGTCAGCATCATTATTCTCATCACGATCATCACCACCATCTCCATTCCTACGCGCGGCCAAGACGGGTGGCGGTTCGTACGAAACGGCCGGTTCGGCACCCACGTCATCATGATCGCTCACGAACGCTGTCGCACCACGTGGATCACCATCACCATCCTCTCTCTCTCTCTCTCTCTCTCTCTCTCTCTCTCTCTCTCAGGAGGAAGATGTTATATGCAGCAAATCGAAGACCACGGGAAACCAACGACGACAAGGGCGTTACAGAGCGTGACTACGGAGAAATCAGAGGCAACGATGATGAGGACACTGCAGGGATTGAGGACAAGCAGGTGGGAAGAATAAGGATGATAGGGTATAAATTCAGGGACGGTGGCTGACAGGATTACCTGAGCAGTGAGGTAGAAGGGTAATCGCGACAGTTGTCGCATGCCATGGACAGGACGTGTATACTGCGAAAGTAAAACCTCGAACGTGTTGTCTATTGTCTCTCTCTCTCTCTCTCTCTCTCTCTCTCTCTCACACACACACACACACACACACACACAAACACAGAGTACCAGCGGCAACAACGACGCGGCAGCAATGATGCCAACCGCAATCCGGTCGGACATCCGGATCCGGACGGTTCGGGCGACCGTCCGGGCGTCCCGGCCGTAGCCATGGCAGTATTTGATTCGGGATTTTTTTTTTAAATACTGCTGCTGAGATGGTGGCCAATCGTTGACGTAACTCATAATTCATCTGCACACTTCAGGCACAAAGGACAGGCGACCAAAGAAAGCCACTACCATATCTGTTTTTCCTTTTGGCATTTGGACCATTTCTCGATAAGTGCATGTCGTCCTTGCGCCGGGACCATGTTAATGTTCTATGTATCATTCCAATTTTAACGTATGTATCCGGAGGACACTACCATTTCACTTTCTTGTTTTCCCCAAAACCGAAAGAAACTACTAGGAATTACTAATTTACTATAACATCATGATGGTAGATGATGATGAAGATGAAACCTCGAAAGATGTACAGACAGGTTATGAAAAATCATGTTTGGAAAATCATGAAGGGGAAGGAGGAAAGCCAAACAAGAAAACAATACCCAAAGCAAAGACAAGTTACGAAAAAAAAAAAGGACAGACATACCGTTCTTTTCTTCAAACAGAGTCAGGAACTCCTGCGGCAAAGGTGGAGGTGGAGGTGGAGGTGGACGTGGAGATGGAGGTGGAGGCACTCCCCATGAACTGCACCCCCCTGTCTCCTCCTCAAGCTTATCAGTGAAGGTAGTCGTCAATTGCACCCCAAGCTTAGTTCGGCTCGTGCCTTGTTTCTTTTTCTCCTTGTTTTCCCCTCTGCTACTGCTACTGCTACCGCTGCAGCAATTGCTGCTGCTGCTGCTGAGAAGGTTCCCAGTGATTACTTGCTGCGGAGCAGTTTTACAAAAGGAGTCAGCAAAGACCGAAGAAGAAGATCGGTTATCGGATACTCCCACCATAGCCACGTCTCCTTGTCTTCCTGCTGCAATTCCTCCCTCCTTGTCTCCATGCATCCTTGATCGCTCATCAACGGCAGAAAAGGAGTCGATTTCAGCCTTGGTGGTCCCAGCCTTAGTCTCAGACTTGGTCCCAACCTTGGTCTCAGCGTCGGTCCCAGCGTCGGTCCCAGTTAGGAACAATGACCAACGGCCACTCCCATCACCTTTCAAAATGGTACTTTCAGCTCTGCGCACGCCCATGTTGAGGAAAGGCCCTTGGGCGTTGGTGATAATAGGCCCAAAGGGCCCAACATCTTTTCTGTTATTATCACCGGTAGCTGATCTTTTATCAGCAGCTGATTGGCCAACTTGATTGGTCCACCTGTCATCCTGCCAATTCCCCTCAGATCTGCGTCGCTTGACTGCACGGCTTGCAGTTGCTGTTTTACATTCACCATCTCCATCTCCTCCTCCTCCTCCTCCTCCTCCTCCTCCTCCCTTTTCTTTAGCACTGTCAATAGCATCCTTCCTCGAAGACCCCCCAACCCGCCCATCCTCCGATCCATCACCATAGCTAATGTGGCTAAGCAACTGTGCGCCAGCTGTCGCAGCCTCCGCGGTATCATGATCGCCGCCGCTGAAGATGGTGATTGGCCCTCCTGATACCAATAACACATCCCCTCCACCATCCCCTCCCCGTCTCTTCCCCATCATCCCATTTCCTTCGCCCCGGCCACCATCTTCCGAGTCTGAGTCATCGCTTCTTTCTGACGCGTACACCAGCAATGCCTCCATCTTGACATCAACTCATCAGAACAAAGCGCGCCACGACAGCTCTCATTCTTCTGGACTGACTTCCAAAGAACACATGTAAACGCCACTGCGGGTACGCCCGCACACATGGAAAATATCAATCACATATCCAGGTTCTACATAAGTGCATTTACAAATATCATGGTCGAGAACTCCATCTCTCTCCTCCCCCTCTCCCCCCTTGCTTTCTCTTCCGTCCAACCAATCGTCCATGCGCGATAGAGCAGAAAATCCGGTTCGTCTGCACCAGTAGGTCCCCAT